GTTTCATTTTCCTACATATAATTCCTTTTAGCATTTTAATCAATAACTGTTGTCCTCATTCTCATCAGCCACACATACAGACACATTGTGTAAAAAGATAATTTTTCTATGCATCAAGTGTTTTTCCATGGTCATTCGTTGTTTACTTGTGTAATACCTATGGGAATAATATGCATCCACTTAAACGCCTAACCATATGTAATTAATTCATGAAAGTGTGTATACATTCATCTTCGTTTGTGCTGCATGTGTGCGTGTGTGTTTAGCTGCTTGTATCTACGACATTAGTCAGTAAATGGAGTGAATAAATAAACGTGAACAGAGAAAGCTACCCTAATTAGCATTTCTCTTTCGGTTTATTTTAATAAAAACTGAAAGACTGACCCAGTTAAAGATTTCTGTTCAACTGACAATGATCGACTCATAATAGTTTATCATTTAAAACTTTTCAGAGCGCTTACTTAACTCACTAAAAACATTCAAATTACTTTGTGTTCAAAGTACTAAGAGTTTTATGACATAAAACAATTCTAAAGCAGACAGAATAAGATGAAGATATATATGAAGTGACACAATTTTAACTGTTTCTGTTATTTTCTTTGAGCTGCTTAAATTTGAATTATTTGCGTAATAACTGATCTGTTGATCGACCAACCGTCTAACTTACTGATCCACTGATTGATCAAACGAATAATGTCGAAAAATAAGCTACAACAAGATAAGAGAGTATAATACAGAACGTATGACAATGAACTTGGTGTGGTAAAGAGAGCGGCTGTAGCCAAGTTGATGGACCTCAAGCTTGGTGATAAGATGGTCGTCCCCATGATTTTATTCAATTCCCAGCAGAGAATAGTAAGGATACGCAGTTTTACACTGGGTGTGGCCTTGTGAGTGTTTCTTAGATTCAACTGATTTTAATGACAAGGAGAAGAGAAACGACAAAATACTCTAGTCTGTAGTTTGAGTACAAGGATTTTGCCTACACTCGTTTTTTTCTGAGCAAAGTACAGTTCGCTTTTATAGAATAGCACAATATGTTTCTACTACAGTTGATTAGTTTCCCATGTAAACCAACATACGGAAAATATAAACGCTAAGTTCACTGATATGAGTCGGTGAACGTTCCATGATAACCCCACCACAGTGACCTTTATTTCCTACTGGCGGTTGTAGTACGAATTATTTAAAAACATTTAGTTAGCGTTCATATAAGATTCTCAATAACTACCGAAGTAAATTTATCAGTAAATGCATGAGGAATTGTAAGAAAAATACGAACGCTAGTCGCAACACGGCTGTTAACAATAATAATAATAATAATAATAATAATAACATAGGTACTACTAGTAGTAATGATAATAATAGTGACATTGTGGCCAGAATATTCGAAATCTTTGCGTTGTTACTACTCAAGGAAGGTACTTCGCAAGTGCTACAGAGAATCCTCATTAGCGCTTGGATTGGAGTGGCATTTAAATCCACAAATTCACTTAAAAATAAGCTTTGCAGGTAAAAAAAACACAACAACCCTATTGATTGAATCAGGCAAAGTGATTTAATTTACCGAATCCTCTGCACTTCGGCTGTTTAAGTTCAAAATGTTAACTAAAATAAGACTGGTAGACCCTAACAAGACAAGGAGTTTAGAGAAAGGTTGGGCTATAGCTATCCATGCAGTTGACCACAATCACGAAACGGAATGGCAGTGGGAGACAGTATTAAAACACAACTTAGTTGGATGGGGGATGACTTACCATCTCTCCTAGATATTTGGAAAACTCTACTACCCTTATCACAAAACACGTGAGTGCTAGAACTATGTAAACCATATCTCAAAGTTTCGGACTTACCTGATATGAATATGAGCAATAAGTTGTGCTCGAAACTTTATTAAGTTATAATACTGCTTTGATCTGCGATACATTTAATAAACCCAGTAAAATGTAATATAATTACGATATTTAAATTGTCCTTCCTACCATGAATAATGATAATAATAGCTTTATTCTAATCAAAACTTGTGGTAAAGTGTGGAATTCTCAGCATGTATTAGTCCAACAGATTCATTCCATATACAATATTTTTAAGTGAAGTAATCATGATATTTTAACAATATTAACAATGACAGTAATAAAAGGCCTAATGTTAAACAGACTTCTGGTATTGAATTAGTGTCTGGTTTAGACTGGTGAATGAAAGAATACTGAGCATAATTTTGGAGATGACAGTTTGTTCAACTAGAACCAAATTCTACAATTCGACACAGTTATCCAACTAATAGCACTGTACCGTATCTTCTAAAGGCGTATCGTCTATTCTTGTTGTTAGCTTAAAAAGCATCAGCTTGAAACCATTTTAAAAGTGTGCAAGAGCACGTCACACGTTTAAAAGACATTTTAACAGATCAAAAATTAAAAGGGAAGAATCCGACTGAAAGATATTTAAGTGGAAACTTCCAGTATCCCAAAGTAGGCTTTACTGAAAGTCCAATCATATCTCCTTACATCGGATACGATACCTATGTTCCAGCTATAACATTATTGGTAGGCTTCGTATAGACGTTTTTAATCAAAATTAGTCAGGAATTCATTGGTGTTGTATTGAAGGCTAAAATCAAGTCAGATTAAGAACATGTTTTCTCGACAAGAATTACTTTGAGAAATCGTGTAGTAGAAAGACGATCGCACCAAGTATATGGCCAAATACTCTCTCAGTTCACAACTAATTAGGCAGAATATTCTGATATCTATAATGAGATGGTTAAGGCCTGGTTGCCTAAATAAGCGAGGCGTCCAATAATTGGACAGCTTTAGATTAGCTTCTGCTTTCAGTGAATGTGAGTGTGAAAAGAAAGAGCACTACTACACAATATAAACGAGTAAAACTTTATTATCGAAGTAATATGGTCTCGTGTAGTCACTTTTTGCCAGTAAAGAAAATTCTAGTAATCCCTGATTGCTAAGTGAACTTTTGAATTTGATCGTTAACTTTTATCCGGTTATTCAAACAATTTACCAAGTTGAAGTATATATGTGTTTCAGTTTGGAGGTTTATGAAGATTTTTTTTATTTCAAGTTGGTAATTGCTGCGAAGTGACATCAATCGGAGAACCACTGAAAACCTAGCGGCATCAGGAGGATGAATCAAGGATCTTCAGATTCTGCGACCACCGAAGTCATGTGTATGCTCTGCATGCTCTGTATGCTCTGTATGCTCATACAGGAACGAAACAACTGCCCAGTCCACCTAGGTTTGCAATGGTTCTCCAACTGATGGCGAATACTAAATTAGTATATTAATATATATATATTTTTATATACGCACATTGCCTGTACCACGGTACAATCTAAAAAAATAGTCACTTCTGTTTAAGTGACAAAAGTTCTGTTAATTTAATCATGTTTGTAGCACGCATTGAAAATACCTAGATATTCTAACTGCAGTGATATTGATTAGAGTTGTGCAAACTTGTTTAAGGAAAATATAGTCGGATTCGTAGTCTTCAGATTTAGCGGCTACAGTGACCTTGAAAACACGCGCAAGGCATTGCTTCATTATCAACAATATTTAGTCTCTGTAGGGTTACCAGTGTCCTGTTGTCTAGTCTTAATTCCTGACCGAGTTATGTGGATAATTTTGTAATGCGATCACCAGATTAGGAGACTCAAAATGATGTTGCAGTTCGATGGATATCAGATGGTTGGAACGGTCAATAGTAAGCCCTGCTTGACCTAGAGTTCGAGTTTATTGGTACTCTTCAGGAAGGCATATTTACAATCTCGAAGGAATTGAACCCACGCCATCCAACACTACAGTGAGATATGATACCAATGAGCTATTCAGGTGGCGACAAGAGGCTATAAAAACAGTTTTACTAAGTCGTTTTAAATCAGTAACCATTTCACTTTCTGTTTGTGAGTGCATTCAAAATAAAAGGTGAGACTCTTAGTAAACGTACTATAAGATTTCTGTGTTTATAACTGCGTACTACTTGTGTGAAGGCAAAAGTTTAACATATTTTTCGAATAGTGTCTGCATTCCTTCCCATTTTGTAGAATTCCTCATTTATGGGTTTTTTATCAAACGAACCAATGTGACCGCAAATAACGCCAATAAGGAACTAGTAATTGGACACTGATGAAAGCAGTACACCTGTTTACATTGATGCCGGCATTCTATTGTTCGGATAGTCTTATGCATCCCAGTAATTTAACTGTACCAAGCCTAGTTTCAAGGTTGCTGTTCTTTCTACCAAAATATCTCGCGACAAAATTGGTGTATAAAAGTGTTGTCATTAAATTTTATTACCAGAGTGGAATATAGCGTTATTGTGGTAAATATTCCATAATCAACTAGTCCATACATAAAATAATGCAATGCATTGACTAGTACTGTTGCTAATAGCATTTCATCCTCCTATCCTTGATCACTTCTTATTAGGTAGACATATCACAGGAAGCAAATCAGTTTCCATTCGGTTATGTCTGTAACAGCTACCATAAATCTTATTCCAATCAAAAGTATTCGGCACTCAAATCATTTTTCAATAAGTGAAACTTGATTTTTGTATAAGCTAAATTATGTTTGCAATATCTACTTAAATTTGTGAACATAATGAATAATCTTTCGCAGATTTTACAACCCCTAGGGATTAAATACGCCTCAGAATTGGTTGTGTCAAAACCGTTGGTGTTTTTTCAGTTGAATTTCGCTTGAATTCTATGGGAAATGCTTTGGTTATATCAGAATTCAAATATCATTTCATATACTAGGGTTGAACATCTTTAGGATGAACAATAAAATCCAACTGTACAATCACTGCATGAAGTCTCAAGCAAAGAGTTTAAATGTCTACCTAACATACTGATAGATGGATGACAAGCTTCGGTTTAAAACATTAAATGTTTTGCTACCACTAGCAGTAAATTTGTAGTATATATCAAGTCTGTGAAACATAACCTTATACTGAATTTGTCTTTTTTGTCACTTCATTGAAGGAACCCCAATGTTCTATAATCCATCAACTGGCGTCGTAGTCAATCCACACACAGGACTCTTGCCTTCTACACTGAAGGCAAACCAACTAAGAACTCTTCAAGATTCTCAAATAGGAAGTTATGAATTGCTCAATTCATCAACTGATTTAATTTCTCTATTCACCCATTCATTACAGACAGTTCAACCGACTACATTTATTGCTTCCAAATCACCTGATTCGATGTTTACTGGCACAGTAAGCAATTACAATAATATTGGTAATCAGAATAATAGTCAGATGAACAAACAAATTATTGATCCTAATACAAACATTAACAAAATGAACATAAATTGCAGGCAATCAGTAACGCACTATGATGGAGAAAATGTGGCAGAATTTCTCAGCAACAGCAATAGATCTAATAAATTACAATTTCTACTGAATCCAATGAATATACCGTCATTACTACCGAACGGTGAAACTGTTAATAATAATTCACTATCTAGTTCATCAACCCACTGTCTCCAAACAGATATAACCAGAGCAAAATCTGACTCCATTACGATAAACCACCATTCGCATCCAACTATCACCCACCTTTCCAATTGTCAGTCTTTTTATAATCATCATCAGCACCAACAACAAATATTAGGCCCACCACCTGTCCCACTTCCTCAACAATCATCGCTTGCTGGAATGAATTATCATCAGGTTACTGGGTCAGATAATCATCTGACAAATGGACAAGCGCATTATATTTTTACAGGTACACCCAATGACCCAGATCCTGGTCATACAAAGATCTTTCACAGTCATTTACAAAACTCACCAGTTGCAATAATTCCTGAGTTGGACTATAACGTAAGAGTATAATCTTTTTTGTGACCATGAGAAATAATTGACAATCTTATGTTAATATATTAATAATAGGCTGTCATGCAAACACTTTAAAACAGATGCAAAACTCTCCACTGGTATCGTATTTTGAAAATGTATCCCACTATTTTTGTGTAGATGTATGAAGTGCTTACGTCATTTGGGTATTACTCAGCCCATCAAGAGAGGGAAGGAATGAAACCGTGGTATGTGTACAGTCATATGCATATGTACAACTAATCAGTTTCAGTATGAAATGTTGATTTTTGCATAATCCTATGACTAGTGTGCTCGTTGTCTGCATTTCTTCAACTCCAAATATAAATCAGAAATGACAGTTAGTCATGAGATGCACTGATAAAATTAGCGTGTCTGAATAATGAATTATATCACTGGAAAGAAAATAACCACATAACAGAATGTAGGTTTCAAAAATCCTTTGATAAGACAAATATTTCACAGATATTTTTATAAAATGATTATATATTTGTTTAGGTAAATTATTCATAATTTATCTTAAGCTTTGAAAAAAGTACAGAATGGATGTTTAACTTTTCACACTTTTGTTACTTTGTTTATTGAATCTACAAGTTGAGAAAAACTTCTCTAAGAGCCTAGAATTCGACGGAAAATTAGTGATAATTATCTAGCTAAATGTCAAATTTAGCATGACCTTGAAAAGATGGAAAAGATTTGTAGCTCAGGCTAAAGATGATGGTGGTTTGATGTTCCATGAGCTTTCATATTTTATATCGAAGCTCAAGATCGACATTCAAAAATTAATCCTACCTAGGAAAACCATTTTTTCTAGAAAGGAAAGTTTTTTTCATTACAGTACTGACTCTTAAACAAAAAAAATTGAATAACCAATTTATGCATATTTACCGCTTCATTCGCAATGACTTTCACATATCATAAAGGTAGTGTTAAACAATGACGAACTAATAGATACATATCTTAGGTAACAGATTACTTTGGGATACATTTATGCGGTTGAATTTACTGATGTATACTCTTTTTAAAAATTAGAGTACAATGCTGATTAGATTCGGTGTATTTCCACTTATCTAGTTACCTTTAAAGCCGGAAACCACTATGAATCCACTTTTTGGGTAAATCCATCATCAAATGATGTATAATTTCAATTCAGTGCATTTATAAGTACACAAATGAATTTGAAAGAAAACATGAACAGAGTAGGTTTCGAGCCAGTGACTTGTAGATTGTAAGACAGGTGTTTTATACAATCTAAATGCTATTTATGTTTCAATTTCACTTCAATTAATGAATGTCTATATTGGCTAAGGTGTTGTAAGTCATCTATTCAAACAGTGTTTTATAACATGAATGGACAAAATTCACTGTTGAACAACTATCTTGGTAGGTGTAACTAGTAATGCGACTTTGAAATAACCCTAACCATAACTGTAGCACCATATAAGTGAAGAACATTTGGAAATGTAAGCAACATTCTCACAGATGTTGAAATGAAAGTAACAGTCAAATCTAAAAACTCATAGACAATGTTTGCTCATTGCAAGATCCTAAGGGAATTTACAAGATACAATAGTTTTATGGACTGGAAACCTTCAATTCACTCTATAAATCAAACTGTTTCATTATATTCTGTATCAAATATAATGACGGAAACAAAATTATGGCGTGTTGTATTGTAGAATTTCCACCTAAATATATCTACTCGAACAGCAAGCTATAGCGAGTAGTGAATTATCTTGAAATGCTTATCTCAATAGCTGGTCTAATGGGCTACATACAGTCATTCTTAAGGTAGCATTCTTGGTGGACTTACATCAGTTGGAGAACCATTGAATACCTAGTAGCGCTGAGCAGCTGCTTCATCGTAGTATGAGACTCCGTAACAATACGCACTTACGACCCTACCTTGCCAAGGAAAGAACTCATGACGTTCAGGTTTCATGCTTTAAGCGTTAACCATTCAGTCAGTGGGTCGGAGTTCAATGGTCCACAGTTTCCTATTTCTGTCAATTCGCGATATAGCACGACTTTTCACCACGTTCTTCATTTGGCATCCATTTCACTTCCAATTGATTAGCCACAAAGATCACGGTCGACTTCAGTCTATGATGAATGCTATCTTAAAAATAAAGTCTCCATTAACCTCAAAATATGTGTAGTTATGCTTATTCCATGAGTTGGCCAAAACACTCGATAAATAGAAGTAAATTGACCTGAGTTCGGTGATTGGGTTTCGTGTTTTAATCGACGGGCTGTTGGGGAATTAACCTATTAGGACAACGCACTTTATTCTCCAGATTAATTTATGCATCTATCTAGAGTCAAGGTTTCCTTATACTGGTGGGATATAAACATGCATTTGTGTGAAATCCTTCAACATATACTGAAGGTTTCTACCATAGTATAGTTGAGTATTGACTGGGATGAAATGGACATGGCATTCTAGTTAATTGACTAATCAGTGGTGTGAATCCCATCTACAGTTTAACTGCAGGGTCTAAAATCATAGTATTTGTATAATCGACTCAACTGGCAGTTCATTAATGAAGTTCAACGCTTTCTTGTCTATTAAAGACAATTTCTGAAGCTAAGACTATTATTTCTTTGGATCTGAAACTACTACTGTATTTTCTGGCTAAAGATGACTTCCAATCGTGCTGCAATATCGATAGTTGTCGGGTGTATCCATGTCAGACATAGACAGCTTCTTCATTGTAAAATACCTACATCATTCTGTTTTGTTTCTTCTGTAGGCTTGTCCGATTATTCACACGTACACAAATGGGTGATGGTATCTAGCATACAATGTTGTGTCACACAAGAAGTAAGTTCAACCAACTTATCTAAACGTTATATAAATTTAAAGTCAAATTGCTGATTCTTTTTCAACTCATTACCTATTAACTAGTTCATACACCGATAGATTCTGTGTTTCTGGTAAATATAAGGCGGATAAAATGAAATGAGTAGAAGATATACTGAAAATTGGAAAAAATACGAAAAACAAATTTCAATGAGATATCACTTTTCTTTAGGATGACCATCGGTTTTACAGTGATGATGAAACTTATGATGATGAACAATCAAATTTTGCACTGCTTAACAACAATACTTTAAGCTAAGACTATTAGGGTCCATTGCCTCATTCAGTTTTTCAAGAAGACAGTATGAATGCTTGATATTTACTTTCTTGGAACTTCATGCCTACACATTGACTACTTATTCTCAAACTACAACGTGCATTGAGCTGCTCTCATAGTAACTGTCAAAGCCAGGAATGATAAAAATGACTATATACTTCGGTACAATTGAAGAGTATTAGTGACAACCAATCACGTTAAAGTTTGGCTTAAACTTGATGGACCAATCACATAATAGCTGTCGCTGAGAATTTCTTAGGTAATAATAATAGAGAAGGCGGCATTGGATGAAGGTTATGCTATATTGTGAACAGACAGAAGTAGGAAATATGTACCATTGAATTCTGACCCGGTGGATCAGTGGAACGTGCTGGCCGTGGGACCTGAAGGTTCTGGTTTCTATCCCTGGTCGGGTCATGGGTGCCCTCTGCTGATGACTCCCATACTAGGACGAAACAGCTGTCCAGTGTTCTCAGGCTTCCGGTGTCCCTACAAGTTATGTCAGTCCACGATGAATACCAACCTGAAATAATAAGAGTTTTAGGCCTAGATATTATTGGATTAGTTAGTATTATTAGTACTTCCAAATTTTGTTCAGATATACCATACTCAAGGATGAAACAGTAGATAATCGATTTCCTTTTCAGAAGCCTACAGTTCATCATCAGTTATGGTTTAGTGTTCGGCTGCTCACAATAATATGGGACCATAGCCCTACTTCTAATCTCCTTCAACCGAAACTTTTTATTTCAAGTGCTTAGGGACTCTAAGATGTCCGGTTAACCATTAGGCAATCTGTGATCATAAGCTGTTATCTTCAGAACCAGCTCAACTTTCTTACCTAATCTAAACTTTGGGACTTTGGAAGCTTTTATTTCATAGATGTAAATATCCCTCTAAGTAACACATTGGTGGTTTAGTAGTTTCCCATTTTCTTACACCAAAAATCTAAGAATCAGAAAACTCCATACTATTTCTCCAAAAAGTAGGATATAATGCACAGAGATTCTCCAAGCATATGCAGACAAATGGATAACTTTGATACCACTGGCCCACTTATAGCACGCTCTTTTACTATCTTCAATCTGATTGGTTGTCCTTAAAGTTCATTGTCATTGATTTTTAGTTTCAATTAAAGTTCTTTTGTCACCTTATCATCTTTGAGTATTTAATGAATTCAGTATAAGAAAAAGCTGATGTGTAAGTAATACTTTCTGTGAATTTCAGTTCAGCATCTTTTACACTCTTTGGTAGTAACCATAAAATTTACTTCAAGGGAAGGGATAATGGTTATATGTTGTTCAATTTGTACTCAGCAAGCTGCTGCCATGTCAACAAGAAACGGTAAATGTTCAACTGTTATAAGTACACCTGGATAATCCTACGTAACAGACAAGTTTCTAAATTAATTTGGAACAGAAGCCAACTTCAGAAAGCAGATAAATCATTTAAGTCCCAGTAGTATGGTTTCTTAGCGTGTTCGAGGGCACAGTTCGTCAAATGACTGATCAGTATTGAAATGGTGAGGAAAACTTGCAACTCAGGTGGATGGTCTTGGTTGTGTTGTGTTCTCTGAGCTAGATTGTTTAGGCGTGGAGCTTTCATCGTCTTTCTAGACGACCACTAAGCAACCCAGCTGAGACTACACAACACAACTAAGACTGTTCAGGATTCTGAGTACTGTTGTCAATTCTCTCTTAAAATTAGTGGTTCTACCCTCTATCGCTTAGCAACAGTCGTGTAGAATAGACTCAACCAGGTGGTGAGCATCACAGAACGTCAGGAATGGGTTGCTTTTCATCATTATAACTCAATTTCACTAAAAACTCAGATATTCATCCTGTGCGAGAACCGAAAATTTAACAGTAGGGCTTGTTAGTCGTGTCTTTAATATAATCAGCCTCTTTGAAGAAGCTAGTCACACACAACACTATCTTCAGTATTTTGCTTGGTAGGCAAACTTAATTATAGATTTGCAATGAGAACCATGAAAAATTTATGCATTGTGGACAAAATTTAATATAAAAACAAATTATGAATATTTATAGGTTTATACTTACATAAGTTTTAATATAATTTATACTACCTATTATTTGTAAGTAGTCAAAAAAGTGACACAAAATGTAGAGCAGTGTTATTTGATGATCGACATATATCAAAAAAGGTTACGGATCTATCATTATATTTTTTCCTTAGAATCCCATTTCTTAATTGTTTTCTTGGGATTTTCAGAGGCAGAGGGATATTCTGAAGTAGATTAGAAGCATATCTTTATTCTATATAGCAAGAGGGTTTGGATTAACTTAAGAAAAGAGTAAACCGCTGAAGAAGCTGGGGAAAAGATAACGAAACGTTTGGAAAAACCTTACTTTATCTTCTTAAGCTGAGATCTGAAGCACGTAAAAGAAGCGCTAATAGTCAGTAATTATCCTCCACAGTTTATTAAGAAATTCCTACGGATACAAACAAAACGAAAAAATAACAGTCACACGAGTGCGACTAATAACGACAACACGAGAAAAAAAGTTCACAGCCTCCAGTGTACTACTATATAAGGAGGGCACCTCAAAAACTTTACGTAGAATCCTCAACAGAGCTGGAATTAGGGTGGCATTTAAACCTGCACACTCACTCACAGATAAACTTTGTCGGCTTAAGGATCCGATAGAACCAATTAAGCAAAATAATATAATTTATCAAATTCCATGTAATGACTTTGAGGTCAAGCACATATGTCAAACTAGCCGATCGGAGTCAGTCACAACAGCCGAACATAGGAATTTATCTAAATATAGAATAACGGACTTAAATAAGATCAACAATCTAGAAAAAACTCGGCTGTGGTTTTGCATGCATTAACACATAACAACACAACAGGGTAGGATACAGCCACTGTACTTAAGTCAAATATAATTAGGTGAAGAGAGAGAGAGATTGATTACTGAATCTTTGTTCATAGAGTCAACACACAACGCATGTAACAGAAATGACGCAACACCTATACCAGAGATGTGGAAAATTCTGCTGTCAATAAAAACAACTCATATAAAGTGACGTAACTATAAAAATCAAACGTCGAAAGTAGTGTGATTACATTGATATGATTATGAGCAATAATTTATGCTCGAAACGTCATCAAGTAAATAATACTGTGTTATAAATCAAATAAACAAGTCTAATATGGAATTGAATTCTACCACAGTGCCTAAGTTTTACACCCATATTAATGAAAACTGCAAAATCAGTATGCATTCCGCAGAATTGTTAATAGAAAAAGATGAAACAGAAGTTATTTTTAAATTCATGAATATAGTTTGTCCATACATATCTAGATGTCGCTGGTTGATGTAACTGTAGTAAAGTTAAGATCAGTTAAAATTGCGGTAGGAAGTTATAGTACGCTCAAAATGATCTCTATACATAAATTCACTTGTCTAGGAAAACTAAATGTGATGCTGTCTGTAAACTTTCATTTCACCATCAGAATCAGTAACTGCGTCATAACTTAAGTAAAGAGAAATGAAGGATTTTCAAGCAGCATAACTGATTAACTCGGTAAACCATAAGGTGGAAAACCTTTTTAAATGAAGACTATTGTGTTATAACCTGACAGTTCCAATTTACCATTCTTTTACAGAATCAAAATGACCAACCTCAGTTGGTACATAGATTCCAAAGTTCGTGCTCCTATATTGCTTGTATGGGCAATGTGTTTTAGTTTACTTGAGAGTGGCTAGCAGTTGAGTCTAGGGTACGAACTTCGTCCCATTTACGATTCATCGGCTGGATGTACCTGTAAAAAACTGAGTGATTGTGTTCCCGGTAATCATCGCTGCAAACGCCAAAGCTTCAGTTGCCTGCACAATACTACTAGCCACCAATAAACAAATTAAAACATCTAATGTTCATGTAGCTTGAAAATACCTAGTAATCTTCCTTTAATGAGTAGTGATAAAGCCACCTAGTTTGATAATGAAATATTCAAGAGTGAGAATCGAACGCCAAGGAATATCGAACAATTTTCATCTCCATCTATTCATCCACTTCAAACTTAGGTATTTAACTAGTTTGACTGAACTGTATGTCATATTTAAAGATTCGAACTTTGTAACGCTCACTTCATCTAGACCCCACTAGGCCTCATTCGGTCTGGGTGAATAGGTAAACTATTTATTCGATCAGTTAACAAACTGTAAGTTATCATAAACGAATTTTTTGGCACAGTAGACTTTCATAGACCTGAAAGCCTTGTAACTCTGAATTCTGATCACTCAAAGAGTAGTTCAGTTGACAGTTGCCTAAAACTCCGTTGTGGACTAGGTTGAACTCCAGTTGTTATCCAATAAAACCAATGTAATTGGTCGTTAAGAATAATGCTACTACGAAGCAAGCTTTAATTGTTATTGATTTGATGAGTTTGACGCATAGTGATTCATTTCTAATAACTTTTGTTACAGAATTGTGCACAACAATAAATTTTTATCTTTGTCATATCATCAAAAAAATATTGAAATTGATTAGTCAACCTATGAAAAATCTACTGTTTCGCTTCAATTATTCCTCATATTCGCTTGCCATCTACACTCCTCTAGAAGATATGAACTAGATCTTGGATTCTTCTTCAGCTTATTTCATCTTCAAAGTCGATATCGCCATTCGTCTGTATAATGTAAATATGGTTAAAAAAAACTGTCCATTTGAATTTACATTCTCATCCTTATCTCTTTCTCTCTCCCTCACTGTCTTTGAATTACTTAAACTCTCACAATGAAGATTTTGTTACCCTTTATTGTGTTTATGTACCAGTCGTCTTGGCTCAGGTGAACAGTCTCACATCCTCTGAACAACTGAGAAAAAAACCACCAGTTTCATATGACGTCCAATCAGATTTTGTGTATTGAAATAGTAATGTACATCATGCATCTTTATCTCATTGATCAATCACTGCTCAATCTATCACTGTCTCACATCTAACCAACTACTTGAATCTCTGATTTTCTCTTCAACTTTCACTAAACCATATCGAATTACTGACTTTTTGAATAATATTTTAAAATTGTATCTATCTCATTCCTCACTTGCCTATTATTTTGTCAGGTAGTGGAGTTTTTCCTTTTTTTTCCGATTTATCAAGATAACCAACTATGCACTTTCATGATAGAGAAAATGAAAATTTCCACGAAGAGGGAGAAGTTGCATCACCTAGTAAATGGAATAAATCTTTGTGGAAACTTTTTCTCAACAAAATTAACTTTCTCCTCTTGATCAGTGAATTTATAAAGCACAATTTAAAAGAAATAACCTTTTTGTCCACAAAGAAAAATTCAATCATTTAAATTGTGACGTTCTTGTTAAAATCAATTTTTTCTAGATAAAAATCAATTTTTAAAGGTACATTAATCTATAAAATACCGTAAAAGTTCAATGAAATTTTGATTATAGACTTAAAATTGAATTAATTAATAATCACTTTTATTTATTGTTTAAAATGACAGAGAAAGAAAATTAACTCACAGGCTTTTATCTTTAAAAGATATTTTCCTTCATCTTTATTTTGGAAAACATTGAAAAATTCATTATATAAAAATATATTATGATTATTTATTAACGATGGTATGGTTTTTTACATTCCTTATTCCTATGGCATATTTCTATTCCTTTGTGACTGTATACCAAAGATGTACAAACAATGAAATTAATTTAATTTCTTCAACAATCCCACATCCGCAGACATTACCCCATTTAACCAACTAATCCCGATCCTGAATCGATAATTTGACTATTAAAACTTTCGAAATATTCAGTCTGTTTTCTTTGAATCGACATTAAAGCATACATTCACATAATTTTCATAAAATTATCACATTAAATAATTAATAAGAAAAAAAGTAATTGGAACATTGATAGTCATTATTATGATGAATCACTACAAAGCTTGAGATTGCATAAAACACCGGAATTCACGATAGACATTATTTTACGTAGCTCATTGCTAACTAGATAATGAATGGCATTTCAAAATTTCTATCAACTTGCAATTTCTCAACTTCTTAAATCTTCTCACTTTCATAGTGTTTTCTACTCAACTTCTCATCACCAGTCTAATATAAACTATTCTATTGTGTTCAATGCAAAAAACTGAGGATTCAACAGGCTTCAGTCTCTTTTATATTATTATGGAGACTTTTGTTGTGATTCTAACGGGAAATCACTACACGGTTTGATATAGATACAATTTACAAAAACTTGGTAGACAAATGTTGACATGGTTTTGAATGACTGAGAACACTCGAATGATAAATCGTTTACCGTTATCACCGAATCACAACTCTGATAAATGGAGTCCAGTCTGCACTGGGACTAGACAACGTGACTGATGGCTGATGTTCAATGACTAATCAGAATGCCTACCTCGCTCCTACAGGTGGTCAGCTGAAGCTTACGCAATGCAGTGATAATGTATTTAGTCCCGGCCCTATTTAGCTTACTATCTGTGGTCCCCACGATGATAAGAATCAGTGATTGAGGACTCTTGGTGACATGACTGGAAATCTATTGCAATGGTGCAGTTGTACTCACTCCTTGACATTTACTAAGGCTTGATTATTTACACTAGCCGTTATCTCACAATTGTTTATTCTCTCACACAACTTCCACCTTGTGATAATGATAGAAAGTGGTCAGCAATGGAATCAAGGACACTCGTTCCATCCCATTTTGGATTCGTATTTGGATTAATCTGCTCGACAATGTGATGTTGTTCCCACTAAGACTCAAACACAAGACCAATCACTTCGTACGTCAGTGCATTGCACACTAGGTCAACGAGTCACGACAGCTGCCTCCCGTGAGACGGGTATAGTCTTCAAGCTGTTTCTTGTATTATCCTCCGATTGATTGGACTAAACTGATCGGTTTCTACATTACTGTTATTCTATCCACCTGTTCATCTCATAAACTACTGTGAAGTGTGATAACTTGAACCGACGCACTTCCGTGGGAGGTCCTACGTTGGTTTTGCCTATCTGTAATCTATCTACCTGTGAACAGATGATGAAGCCTCACTTCCTCCAAAATTACAGACGCAACCTACTGATGTGTGCAGCCAACCACGAAAACCATGTTCACATAACACCAAATTCCACTGGAAACTGGTTACAGTCAAACGACTGAACCCTCCATTAATCTGGATGATATTTTCTAAGAAATCACAAATGAAAGTGATAAATGACTCGTTTTATAAAGTGCTAAACTGTGGGTGATTAACAGCCCATATGTTCAGTGTAAATAGGTGAGGATTCAACGGGCTTCAATCACTTCTATTCAACTCTCTTCTCTGAAGCAAAAGTCACTCAGTAACGCACTGAAACACACTAAATAGCCAACAAAAGGAAGTGAAAATGCAATTATGAGCGCAATTGAAATTAACTTCTTCCGGAGGACCAAATAAACCATGATGAGGACAAAAGAGATTTTATACAGTCAAAGGCCTTTTCAAAGTCGATGAAGTTGAGGTAGAGGGTTGACGGCCGTTCTGTACTCTGTTATGAGATGATGCGAAGCGTTGCAATTTGATCGGCACATGATTTGTACTTCCTGAATCCCGCCTATTCCGGTCGTAGTTTTGAATCCAGCACATCCTGTAGTCTCTCCAGGATGATGTGGCTTAATATTTTGCTTGGAGTGAACAGAAGCATGATTACGGGCCAGTTGTTGCAAAGACTTATGTCTCCCTTGTTTGGGATTTTGACAAGGTAACTCTTCTTTCAATCACCAGGTATCTTTCCTTCCTTCCAAACCTTGTGCAATAGTGGTGTGGGCATGTCTGCTGTTGCCCTGCGTCTGCTCTCAGTGCTTCTGGGGGAATTCCATCTGGTCTTGTTGCTTCCCGGCATTTCAGTAGCCGTATGGCGTTCAGGACTTCGTTTTTGTCGGAGGGCCTGTGTTCACTTATAGTTCTGTGTCTGCAGGTGGTACTTCTGGACGAAGTGCAGGTGGTGGTCGATTCAAGAACTTTTCTAAGTGGTCAGCCCATTGTTTCCTTTGTTTCTTCTCTTTAGTAACTAGCTTCCCTTCACTATGTTTCACTGGTTTCATCTGAGTTGATCTTTTTCCAGATAGATAGTAACCTGGTTATTTGATACAATGTTGTCAGGTCTCTCCTACCAGCAGCCTGTTCTGCTTCACTTGCCAGTGTTTCATAGAAGTGTCTTTTGTTTTGGCGCATACTACTCTTCACTTCTTTGTCCAGTGTTCTATACGTTGTACTCAGTTCCTCTTGTCGCTGAGCATCCTTGCACTGGTTTATCTTCTGCTTCACCATCCTCCTCTCCTCTATCAGCTTCCATGTGTCTGTCGAGATCCATTCCTTATCTTCTTTCTTCTTCCTTCCTAATATGGTTATGCAGGTTTCTTTCTACATAGCTTTCAAAGAGTTCCAGTGTTCATTCACACAGGTCTCTTCAGGGATGTTCTTCAATATCTCCCATTTTGTCTTGATGGCTGACGTGAAGATGTCCCTTGTAGTTTTGTCCTTCAGTTTCTGTTCTGGGTATCGAACTTGAACTGTGGTCTATTACCAGCTTCCTTGAAGGCTTTTAACTTGATTTGGATGGTTCCTTGCACTAGATAGTGGTCTGAGCCTACATGTGCTCCTCTTCTTGACCTTGTGTCAAGTAGGCTGTGTCTCCACTTTCTTGAGATTGAGATGAAGTCAATCTGATTTTTAGTGTGTCATGGTGTCTGGTGAAATCCATGTCGCTCGCTTTGTGGATATCCTTGTGCTTGAACACACTGCCTCACCTCCAATCACCAAATCGTTGAATGCACAGAATTCTGCAAACAATTCTCCATTCTCGTCCATCACCTCACCGAGCGCTTCTCGACCCATGGTTAGTTCTCTTCCTGTGTTGTCCCCTCCCAGTTTGGCATTCATGTCGCCCATTAGAATTTTGATATCGCCAACTGAGTTCTTGTCCAGTGCTGACTGCAGTTGTCTGTAGAATTCTTCCTTTTTCTTTTGCTCTGTATTATTTGTAGGTGCATAGCATTGTATGATTGTGACCTTCCTTCCTTTTTAGTTGAACCTTGCTGTCATGATCCTGATGCTGGAGGAGATTCACTCCCACTGCATGAGAGCCTTCAATGCTGTTGGGGACATCATGATAGCCACTCCACAACTCAGTGTGCTGTGCTCGTGGTTGTCGTCTGGGTGACAATGTTGGAGTAGATTATTGATTCTCCAGTTGACACTTTGGAGCTCCACTCCCATTCCATCTGCTTTCGCATATTCCAAGCACTTCAATGTGATACCTTCTCATCTCGTTTGCAATCTGGGCTGCCTTGCTGGGTTCAAACATCGTGCGGACATTCCATTTCCCCACGTTTACTTTCGCTTTCATCGAGAGCAGAGAAGACATATCGGCCAATTGGCTTCCCGAAGGCAGGCTTTCACCAACTGGCGTCATTTCGCCTCTCCGATTCCAGTGAGGAATAATTTGTTATTATTTTTCATATTTCTTTTGTGTTTTGAAGTTTCTTTAGCGGTTGGATTTGTTTTACGGGGTAGGGTTGGTAGCCTAACGCCAAACCTTCCCTGTATACCCGGGCTTAGGACCGGCTAGTAACTAGTGAACAAGTTAACCAGGCGAGGTTACTATTAATATTAATAGTAATGGCATGATGTCCCTGAATGGTCTTCTCAGTGCACGCCCAATCCATATCCGCTTCCTTCTGCATATTTGTTGAGCGATAGGTCCTTGCTTCGTTGGTTCGTTACTCAGTCAGAGTTCCTTGTTGCTTATTCATTTTATTCTGGCCATCTGATCTTCAGTAACAAGCCAGCGTAGGCAGTTGTTGATGAATATCTGTAGTTTATTGGAAATGCCCTCAGTAACGCGCCAAGTCTCTGAATCATGTAGAAGCACTGACTTGACATTGGTGTTGAAAATCCGGATCTTGTTCACGCTTTATGCTGAGTGAATTGCAGTAAATCTTCACACTGGTTTCAGGTTAATGAATGCCTGTCTTGCCGTCTTTTCCGATCCTGGCTGCTTCGACGTCCTCGTCTGTGCCGCCTGTAATTGAAACGATGCTGCCTAGATAGGTGAAAGAGACAACTTCCTTTAAGTTTCCCCCGTTCGTCATGATTGGAGCTTGTTGTTGTTGGTTTGGTATCTAAAGGAAGTCGCATCTTCGCTGCCCCTTTTGTCAGCTTGTTAGTTTTTGCCTGTAGATCTTCGAGTTTGTGTGACACTAGACACAAGTCATCGGCGAAATCCAAATCTTCTAGGATCTTTTCCCGGTCCAGCGTATGCCCATCTTCTCGCTTCTCACGGTTTATTGCATGATCCAGTCGACCAGAATCGGGAATGCACATAACCCTTTCGAAATTCCACCAGATTTATTTATTTGCTGAGGATCAAAGTAGGTTGCCGAAACACAAAAGTCCATTACTATCACAGTGCAGTGGGTGACAACATACTTGGGGAATTCATGTGGAAAGCATTTGTAACTTCCGCTTGAAATCGCTATACACCTTGCTCATCAACTGGTCAAACGAAACAGTTGGTTTTTTAATGAGCTGAAACAACTTCGGACTGTTGCCAGACGTAGCTGTTGTTTCGATGTAACTCACACGCCTCAACCACAAAGTCTCTTCATTCTTGCTTAACATTTTTCACGTCAGAAACTTCCACAAAACTTTGTGCTCACCGACAACTCCAAGACGTCGATGGCTCTAACAATCTGGCAGATACTTTCCTAGACTCCAGTTCAATCATACGAGAAGCTATCTACTGTTTGCCTGGTATTTTTGAGTGTAGTATGTCTTCGTTAACACATATCTTCAGTCTACTTGACTTTCAGCATTTTCGCACATGCAATTAATTTACTTCCATCCACCTTTTGGAGTTATAATTATTAATTTCTGCCAGGAATTGTACACCTGATTTCAACACTGATGCTCACTAGAGTCGAGTTCAATTCCTTGAAGCTGTTAGAGTTGTACTACACAAATGTTTGTCATATGCAGGAAGATTAAAACTGGAACAGTTTCTATCACCAGTCGCTCACCAATCTACCTGACCTATTGACCTAATAACATCACATAGCACACAGTCAACTTATCTCGGGTTATACCGACTGACTTGCTTTCGATGAACATATTAAT